TTTGTGGACAATAAATGGAGGGGAAAAGAAAAACATTTCTAGCAGGGCTGGAAATTTTCTGTCATCAAAACATGATGTTTTTCCCAAAACTACGCTCTCACTGTTTTGTCACCAAAAAGCAGTTTTGCCACCATTGTAGATACGACCTTACACTTTTAACTGTTAAGTCATAACTCTTACAGTATTTTTTTACTGTCTCAAATGTATAAGGCTAATACAAATTCAATTTAAACCTGTCACAGGTTGTTTCTACTCCTCAATGTCCAGTAAATGGACACTTATGGGCTAAGTGCAACAACCCTGTTCTGTGTTTTATCAAGTTCCAGCACCTGCTTGCAAATCTCATCAAAATGCCTTTTATCTGTGGGAACTGCTCAGTACAACAAACCTCCTTCCAAAAACAACGAATACAAAACAACCCCCCCCCGACCCTTTCCTTCCCCAGCCAAGTAATATTCTGAGCAGCAACCCTCTTCTGGTTGAAGGTACGATAAGTCTGTAGAGCCTCAAACTCCTTTTCAATCTCAATAAGTTCAGAGCAGGGTGTGGTAAAACAGTAGAACTTTCAAAGTTCTCCTCTGAGGTCAGGCTACCACCTTTAACTGACAAAGGATGGAGGGTTTTCCCTCCCCCTCAAAGCCCTCCCTGATGTCCACAGACAAATCAGGTGAGTTTCTGAGTTGTGACATTAGCCTACTTACCAGGACCATCAACAGGGGGGCAAAAGGGACATTTGCCCTGGGGCCTGGCAATTCAAAGGGGCCTGGGGCTCTGAGCTACCACCACCACTATGGCAGCAGTGGTGGTGACCAGATCCGTAGGCCCTTAAAATGGCCACTGGAGTGCTGTGTTGCACACTCCATGTGGCTCTGAGTTCTGGAGAAGGGTCACACTTTGCTCTGGATGGCACAGAGGACTGGCTGCCCCTTCCACTCATGACCCTGCCCCTTTAGGAAGCCAAGGAGCTGGCCCTCTCTCACCTTGCTTCCTCTGCTGCTTAAACATGGCTAAAAATAGTATTGTCTATTAAAACAGCGGTTTTCAAACTATGGGTTGTGACCCAGTGCTGGGTTGTGGAGTGTCAGGCACTGGGTCTCATTGCTGCAAGGTGATCAAGTGACTAGGGGGGTACTAAGGCAGCTACCTGCCTCTCCTGGCACCGCCCCAGAAGCAGCCGGCAGCAGGCCCCGCTCCTAGGTGGGGGGAAGAGGGTACACAGAACTCCATGCACTGGCCCTGCCCTGAACTCTAGTTTCATACTCCCACTGCCTAGAACCTGCTGCTGGCTGCTCAGTCCCACCTCAGAGCTCACAGTCTAGTCAAATTATATTGGGTCGTGGGCATCAACAATTTTCTTTCACTTGGTCATGAGAAAAAAAAGTTTGAAAGCCACTGTATTAAAATATCCACAGGAAGCAGATTTCTGCGGCTTGCATCTCCCTTAAAATCCTCCCACTCGAGATGCACCGTAGCCTCTTACAGTTACACAGAATTCAGCCAAAGCTAAAATATTTGAACTCTTACTAAGGAGTTTATCTTTCTGCCTTACCAAACTTTCCTTGACCTAAGTAATTTGGGACACGCTGGTCCTCCTTCCAATCTATGCCATTGACTTTAGTAGCCTTAATAAGTATTTCACCACCTTCCCAAGACTCAGTCTTAATATAGTTCACTGGGGTTTCTACTCTCTTTACTGTTACTTTTGTGACTATGGTAGCGGCACTGGGTGGACCATGGAGTAACTTTTAGTTTGGGCCAATTTGGTTTTATGTGGCTTGAGCCCGACAGTAACAGACTACCTGCATTCCCTTAGGGTGGGGGGTTTACTACCTTGGGTCCCCCTGATGTAAAAAAACCCAACAACCTGAGATTAAGTTTATGCACAGACCCCTCTTTTCTTAACATGGGGGGCAAGAAATTTCCCTTCCTCTGGGATTTGCCTTTTTCATGAGTCCTTGATTAAACACATTCAACAGCAATTTCTGCAGCCTCCAAAAGGCTGGAAGGCTTTTTGTCACAGATGACTGCTTTTACCCCACCTGTAACTATCTATAACAATTGCTCCTGGACCATTATATAAAACAGTTTTTCATAATTACTTCTGTTATCCTGTTAAGCATCTTGTGCACATACTCAACATCAGTGATGTGATCAGACATGTTAGGACTGCTATACTTTCAATCAATAGGTTTCAGGGATAAAGGTAAATCTTTCAAGCACATTTTCTTTACATTTCTGATGTAAACAGGATCTGAGTGAATGCTTCTGAGTAAACCCAGAAGGCTCAAAACCCAAAACAAAAGTCCTCAAACATGTATATTTTAAAAATCTAATTATTTTAAAACCAATCTCATGATTCGTGATTACTGAAAGCTTGTGGATGGCAATACTGGTGTTTCTATTGAACAGCTTTTCATAAAGCCTAAAGCCAAAGTTAGACGGCTAAGCTCCAGTTAATAAGCTATGGGAGCACAGGTTGTGAACAGACTGGGACAGAAGAAGACTTCTTGCTACATGGAAAGATACCAGAACTATGAATGGGCTGTAATGTTGAGCTGGACTTTATTTTGGGACTCTGAGGACTGTTCAGAACTAGCTCTCTTATTAAACAGGTCCATTGGTAGGGTGGTGTTAATACAATAAATAATTGTTTCTGTTTCTAAACTAGTCCCAGAAGGGGAACCTGTTAATCAACATGACCGAAACCTGGGGTATGTCTATAAATACACTTGCTTTGCTTAGATGTGTTAGATACTCAGAAGATGGAGTGTTATTTTGCTCATTGTAGTCAATTTTAACCCAACACCAGCTGTGTTTGTATTAAATGGCAGGGATGGCTAAAATATGGTTACCAATGTTTGTAATTGTGTGGGAATACAGAAAAGTAGAACTGTGCTAAATTGTTTGAAATAGAAGGGCTCACAGTTAGCAGAAAATATTAGAGCTCTTGTCAGATTATTCTGGACAGGAAGCTATATGGCTTCCCCTGCCTGGAGTGGTTTGACCTTTCCTGCCCGCACTCCCACTGTTCAAAGAACAGAACTAACTAGGCATCATTAGGTTGGAGCTGTGTTTTTTTTATACCCTGTTTCCTAAGAGCTGAAATCACTGGGAGCTGAAATCATTTGAAACTGATGGGAAGAAATCACAGCCAAGAACTGGGTGGCAATGGATGGTGACCGAGAGCAAACAGGACGGTGGCAGAGGAGAGAGGCGA